AACTTGCTGCTAGTAAATAGTAATAAATTTATTCAAAACTGAAAGTAAAGCATTCTTACTATTTTTTTCTTTAACTATGGCAGATCTTTAACAAACAACAAAACAACAAAAAAGAAATGCATTCATGAAAGGAACTTAGGACTTACTTATTATTCATGAAAGGATATATTTCAGTAATTACAAGTGCATAAAATTCAGTATCTAGATAAAAAAATGAACACAGATTTGGAACAAAGTACCTGTGTTTCTATTGCATAAAATTTCCCTTTTAATAGCACAATATCTTTGAGTTAAAGATTATATATTAAAGCAAATTTATTAAAATTCAAAAATAGAAATAAAATAAAAATAAGAATTAAATTATTTTTAGGGAAAACACTAAGCAAATAAAAAAATTTTGAATTTCATAATAAAATGAAAGTTACACGCTTTTATTTTTGGCATAAGGTAGATAATAATTTCCAGAACAGATTTCTGAAACAATTAGTCATGTTAATATTGCCTTTCTTTTTCCATTAAAAGCTATTTCCTGCTTAATTACAGTATGCTTTAAGATAAATATTAAAACGTTTGAGTAAAAATAATAATATAACTATAAGAAGGTGAGACATATACAAACAGAAGTGACACAAACAGTAAGAAACAGCCTAGTGCAAAATTTTTCAATTTATTGATTTGGTATTCTATGTCATTAAACAGTACCAAATGCTGAAAATGAATCATTAGGCACGTACACAAAAGAATCAACACATGGAAAATCACATGTCCTTACACAGACGTTATTTATAAAATTTTACATAGGATGAAGAAAGTACGACTATTAAACACTGTAAATATAAAATGTTCACTTACTTTCTTCAAATAATTAGTAACATCGATGGATTCAGTCAAACGCCAATCCACGAAACAAACAGTATTCTTAGCGACCATTACCATTCTTTTCGACCGCCATTGCTGACTTCGACTTCACAAATATCCCGCCAGAACCGGAATTAGAAAATGTCTGCTTTGCCATTGGTCAGTGAACAAGAATTGCAACGTTTTTTTTTCTTTGTAATTAAATATATTAAGGAAGCCTCTAAAGTTATCATATGAAATAAACTTATTTTTGCATTATATAAATTTATATTCACAACATCTCTGTATTAAAGTAATAATTAAATATTTCTACGAAAAATAAAATGTTGTGTATGCGCATGCTCAGTGTATAATCGTAAATCCGGTTAATTTTTATAAGTTAGCGTAAAATTAACTATACAATTTTGAGTTCATTTAACTGGACCCTTGTACTTATTCTGTAGATCTCCATATTAAGAATGTCTTTAACTGTTTCAGGAAAAATAAAAAATATAATATTATTTATTTATTATTTTTCCTCGTATAAAAATTATTAAAATCGCTATATCATTTTCCCCGTATATTAAAAAAATTAAAAAATGTTAACCTCATGTGATTTTTATAACAAAGATTAAAGTAACTGAAATATGCCAAAATATCAGGATTCAGCTTGCAATTTTCGTAGAGTTTTATTATTATTATATATTAAATAAAATATTAGTATATCTTTGATTATAATTAATGATCCTTTGGTCTATTAAACTATTGTTAAAGAAGTTAAACATTTTCAAGCATCTTCTGCCTATTTATTATTCTATTCCTGACATTAAGATTTGCTAGTCTTATTCCAATTTAAATGCCCACATTTGCTAAATAAAATAAGGCAAGTATTGTACCAAACTCAGTAAGTACACAAATTACATACAGCTTATTCCAGTTAAATGGGTAATAGGATTTCATAAAAGAAATTAAATTGTGTAAAATGTAAGTTGTTGATATGAATAAAAATAACAAATTTGATATAAGAAAATAATAAGTTATTTGGAGATCTTTAAATTAAGAAAATAATTTTTTGCAAAAATGACGTAAAGATTTAGCTCACACTTTAAAATTCATAGAAAAATTTTAGCCTCATATATGAATGCCCCTTTTTCATGTTCGTGCAAAAGGAAAACAAAGTGAAATGCCAAAAATGCACTAAATATTTCGAATTAATAACTTCATTTTCAATCTTTTTAGACTTCTATAATATCCGTAAAAGTGACGAATGAAATATACCATTAAAGGCAGTTTCTTTTAGAAACATTCGTCGTAAAATTTAAAAGTGACGTAAAATAAAGCGTAGCAGACAAATAACGACAACCATTACAACAGTAACTTCAGCCTTTTTCATTCGTATAAATTTCGTAAAAGTAACGTGCAAAAAATACCATACGCTTATTTCACCAAAATTATACGTATATTTTTGGAGACGTGCTGCCTGGGAAGATTTATGAAGAGACACAGTATGTGTCTGACCAATATGAAGAAAAAATTGCAGTATAGCCGGACGAAGTTTTCAAATTTTGAAGTTACACCATCAGGAAGAAACAAGAGGCCTAGCATTTTGCAAATTTGAGAATGGGTCAAAGCTTCTTGGGATGTTGTGAAAACAGAGACAGTGGTTAAATCATTTAGAAAGTGTGGCATTAGTAACGCACTAGATGGTATACAAGACAATTTGTTGTATGAGCACTCAGATGCTGATTTAGAAGAGGTTTTAAGTGACTCTTCATTTAGGCTTATGGCAACCAATGAAATTGAACCATCATCAGCATTTCTCAGCCAATTACATGAAACGAGGAAAATGCTATCACCTAAACCAGCATTATTCCATGACATTTTAACACTATTTATCCATCCAGCTCTTCAAACCTGCACCCATGTTTTCCTTGATCAAGATGGCATTTGAAAGTCACTCCAAGCACCTTATGACAGTCTTTATAAAATGCTTTCTCGAACAGCAAAGCATTTCCGCATTTCCATCCATAATAGTATGTCCATAATGCAGCACCCAATCTTATGCCTTCTTCTGACTTAAAGCCTTCTCAAAGCTTAAGCAATATTACAGCATTAACAGTCACCCGCTCTGGACAGAAGGTTCCATTCAATCCTTGGTGTTTCTAACTTTTAGTACCTTTGGTACTTGGGAGGGAGTACAGTGGGGAATCATTCCCTTTCACCCAAGCCGATGGCAGCACTATCCAGAACTTGATTTCTTTCGCCATCGTGAAGTGCATTCTGGGATTTTTAGAGAATGTTCTGTTTTTAGAAACTGCTATAAGATCAGCATGTGATCTAGATTCTTTAATGGAGAAGCAATAATTAATAATTAAATTTATGCATTAGTTAGTAAATTGTGCTATAAGGCACTAGCATCTTTTCTTCCTTACATAAGAAGCTCATGCAACCGATCTGATAAAAATATGTGGAGTGCAAACCACCACCGTTACGGAGAGGTTCTTTTCCATCATTCAGTAACATTACTGAATTAAAAAAATTTCCGTTGACAAAAGGAATATTTAATGAAAACATAAATGCAAACAATATTGATGGAAATATTTTGATTGCTTTTAACGGATCAGTAAGAAATTTGATGTCTGAATTCATTTGATGAAGATAAAAGCTATGAGTAAGCCTATATTAACATATTTTCTTTTTTTGGGGGGGAGGGAGTTAATAAATTTTGATGTACTAACAGCTGAGAAAGATGGTACAAGAAAGAGGGCATTTTACCTAATATGCAAAAATGTGAAAATAACGATGAAATGAAACTATATCCGAATGAAGGCATTTGGAGATTCGGGTGAAAAAAGGTAAGCAGGTAAGTTCCATGCGAAAGAAAATCTTATGCTACGACAACTGATTCAGTGGCTCTAGAATACTATTTACAACAAGGCTGTGATTTACTTATGGTTGGGCAGAAGAACTGACATCAATTAAATGATGTAAGAAACAACCCGCCCTTTGTGAAAATATGACTATTGAACAGAACAGTTTTATGAAAGAAGGATGGTCTCTACATTTAATATGATAACCAAATAACCAAATAGGCAACCCTGGGAAAATTGTGGAAAGAGAAAAAAGTCTGTTCATCTCCAGAAAAAAAAAAAAAAAAAAATAAATAAATAAAAATAAGGCAGACAAGGTGTCATTCTTCTGATGGTGGATATTTAACAAGTTATGGCAAAACCTGGAGAGTGCTATCTTGTTCAGGTTCCAAAGGGAGAAACATCCACACTCACTGAAAAAATTGTTCATCACATAGAAAATGAATTTATGATTCATTTAGACTGTTGGTGAGCATACAAAATAGTAGTACTGGAAAAAGCAGGATACACTCATGCTCACTTAATTGTAAATCAATAAATTCAATTTTGTAGATCCCAAAACAGCTACTTATACACAAAATGTTGAAAGACTATGAGGCTCTGCTAAGTGGCAAAATTAAAAAGCAATGAGCATTGCTCTTCATTATCTTGAGCTCTATCTTACCGAATTCATCTGGCAAAAGTCCTAGGGGCGAGAAAATGCGTTTGATGCCATATTAAAAGAAAAAAATTAAATAAATATGGCAGGCAGGAAATGAATGTGAAAAGTAAGCATGAACTTCATCATTATAATGGGAGACATTAAGATAAAGAAGTACCGCAGTTATCGCTACTAAAATGCATACCTAGAAACACCTAAAATGCATTTGCTCTTAAATCATAAAAGTCATCACATGCTGAGAAAAAGAATGATTTTTTTAATGAATCCAGCATATACAATGCATATGGTAACCTGAATGAAAAAGATGATACTTAATAACTATATTAAATAGTTTACCAAAATTATTTTTCTTAATGACATCATGACCATATTAAATATTTTTGCATTTAATAGTACTGTCAAGAAGGCTAAACAACAGCTAATGGGCTTCAGTTTGTAAGCGTCATAAAAATTATCACTGATTTTTGGGATGTTCTTTCAGAATAATTAAACAAAGTTACAGCTGAGGGATATACTTAAAGGAACTGTATGTTTTAAAAGTTGATGACTACTTTGGTTTAAAAAATATATATATATTTTAAATTCAACTAAATTTTATACATGTAAAAATAATCTAAATATTATTAAAAATTTTAAATGAAAAAATATATCTTCTTTCTGTCTTTCTCCTCTTTCAAGTATGTTTTTGCACTTCTTATTGTAACTTCATCTACATTAAAAAAATAATAAATAAATAAACAAAATTAAAAAAAAATTGAAATAACCGATAATAAACAGATGAATAAACAAACAATCCATACTAATGATAAATAAACAGATGAATAAAAAAGTAAACAATCCATACTAATGATAAATAAACAGATGAATAAAAAAAAGTATCTTGAAAGTATTTTTACTTCAAGCAATACATTAATTATAACACTGATAGCCTGCCTTTACAGTGTAATTTGAAAACTCCAGCACTTTGATTTCTATGACAATGTGACAGAAAAAATTATTGTAAAATCTACCTCATTTAGCAAAATCCTTCTATTGAAAAGCAAAAACTTGAATTTTGCCTCCACCTCTAATTATAAAAGCATGCAATTTTTTGCTTGAATGTAAATTTATTTTAGCTTTATGGGGGTATTTCAAAAAATATTTTATTTTGAAAATTTTTTAAATAACAGATATTATTAAAGAGCTAGGAATAAAAAACATTTATATTCTTGTCTGCAAAGGGGGGGGGGGAATCAGATTGTACAGAATGACCTCAGCTATTTCTTTAAGAGCTTAAAATATATTTCCAGACAAATAACGTACATTATCACACATTATCTTTTTTTTATTTACTACAGAAGTTTGGGAACCAATACACTGAATAAATATAATTTTTCTCAGAGTACGATTTTGAAATAGGAGATTTATTTAAGCTATTTATTTCGGTTAAATTATTTATTTAGTATGTGCATGCATGCACACAAAAAAAAAAAAAAAAAAAAAAAAAAATTCATTTTTTAAATTTAAAGTATTTTAACTTTTTGATCACAGATCAATCTTCATATTTTAAGAAACCACAGATGATGAAAATATAATATTAAGGAAATAATTATTTAAAAAAAATTAATCAGTGAATTTTCATTTCTTGTGAAAAATTGCAACTACAGATTATAAAGAATCTGAAAAGTCATTAAACAATATCATGTACATAAATGCTTTGGAATTTTTAGCTACATATGATCCAAATTTATTTAATCATTTAAATATGCACCCTAGTTTTAGAGGCAAATAAAAAGCAATATAAAATGATCTAATGTGGTAGCTGATAAAGTTAATAAAAATCAGATTAGGAAAATTTGATAAAATTATCTTACTGATGTAGTACCTAATATAGTTACTGATAAAAATCAAGGTAGACATAAGTAAGATATTGTTTGAATAAATCTGTGTCACTTTTGCATAATGACACTCAGCAATGTCAAAAACAAATGAGCGTCCAACAATATATTAGCAAGAGAGGATTCTATCTACGTTTCTGATGTAGAACTCTTAAGATTTTGTACTTGAGCTTCATTCTTTTTTCAGTCATGCTACATTCTTTTTTGGAATATACTACTGATAATATTGTCTAATAGGCAAGCCTGAAGACATTTATAAACTTAATGAGTCCTTTGTAAGTTCTTTTTTCAATACTTCAATTTAAATGCTTGTGATAACTGTTAACTTTGATTTGTGTTCTATTTTAGCAAACTCTTTAACTTGCTACATAAAGATTTCACAGTTATTCTAACTTATGATTCTTTAATAAAACTGTGCTAAATAGACTGCAATTTTGCTACATGAAATGACATATCACAAATAAAAGCACATTATTACTGAGCTACATAGATTTTGAAGGAAGTTGCCAAAAAAGGTATTTGTATTTCTTTTATGTCAAAGCAAACAGAACAACAGAAGGAACTACTCTGACATAAAGTTAAAGCTGTCAAAAATTTAGATCTGGCAACAAATAAATTCATGAAAATGTTCGGTGAATAATGTTTTTAATAAACAGTTATGAATATAGGAATAAAGGAAACCGCACAGATTATTTTGTATGGTTAGACAACAGTTTAATTAAAAGATACATAAAAAATTCTTTAATTATTATATGAAAAATAACTTTTCTAGTCTTTTAAAAACAGTAATAGATTATAAGATGTAACTTAGTTCAGGTCCTAAATTTAAGATATATGTCCACCGAAATACCAAATAGAAGGATACAAATACCATCACATTTTATTACCATGTTAAATGCAGAATTAAATTTGATTTAGTTCTCTTCAGGTAATGTATAGCTACTGAAAATACATTTTTGAATAAACAAAGACATATGCAAAAGAGCATATGTAAACATATTTCATGGTATTATAATTATTTTTTAAATAAGATCTGCTTGTGACCATTTGAAATTTCATAAATGTATGAGAATGAGTGCAGAATCCGACACTACTCAAATTCACAGCATCAGATTGTACACTTCATACTGTGAGGTGAATATGTTTAAGAAAATGGAAATCTTTGCCAACTGTGAAATATGATCGGTCATCCTATTCTTAACAGCAAGAAACCTGAAAGCTGTACATATTTGTCACTTTGCATATAGTGATATGCAAAGCGTAGAGTGACATTGCAATGAATAATGAATAACAGTAAAATGTGAAAATGGATGATTGCTAAAAAAAGACTGAGAAAATGTCCATGATGAACCATACTGTAGTTGGCCATAAGAAATCGCTGATGATTTAGAGCAGACGCAGATCAGAATTTATAATTTCTAAGTTATTATCAGAACTGCCATAAATTCCAAGATTAATTTTGTTTAAAATTGTGTCTAAGAAGTCAGAGTTCAAGAAAAAGTACTATTGATGTGTTACTAAACTACTAAATGAAGAACACGAAAATAAAAGATTAGTAAGTGCTTTAAAATTTTTTACCCTCTATAATGAAGAAGATGGCTATTAAAGTCATATCATCATAAGAAATGAGACATGGATGTCTTATGCAACTCCCAAGTTTTTAACAACAATTAATGTAGTGATGCCAGACATTATCAGTCAGAATGAAAGCAAACTAAAAACTTTCAAAGTGTAAGCTCATGGCAGCTATGCTTTGAAGCAGGCAGTATATTTTATTAGTGGAATTTTAAATCAGAAGGTATAACAATTAACTTAGCTTCTTATGTGATACACCATAAAAAATTCATTATGACATCTAGAACGAACAACACAGAATGTTATCAGCTAGTGTTTTACTCCTTCATGAAATGCAAGGCTACCTGGTGCTGCTCAAATGGGTTTAAGCTCATTTCGGGCTCTGGGCGCAGAAGATCTACTGGCCCCCATGACATTGTTGGCGGATCCAAGGAGAGGCTCTTGGATCCGCTAGCAAATGAAACAAAATTTTAATGTTTAATTCTAAAAATATATATAAAAATAAAAAACAAAATAACATTCTTATAAAAAATAAAAACATTCTAAAATATACCATAAAAAAAAGCAAAAACATTCTATGATATAACAAAAATATAACATTCTTTTTTGTGACTTAATACTGGTAAATTGACATATGATAGTATCACTATTAAGTTTCTCAGTGCCTTATATTCTATATATAATAGTGTAATGCATCAAAGTTTTCTTGACTCAAATTAGACCTTAAGTATGTTTTTATTCTTTTTAGGCCCGAAAAAGATTGTTCGCTTGATGCATTAGCAATGGGTATCATTAAATAAATTTGCAACAGAGTTAGAATATTCGGAAAAGTTGCTTTCGCCATCTAGACAACCTCCAATTTTTCATAAATCATGTTTTTTGTTTAAATTTTTTCGACAATTCTTGAAAATGAATAATATTCTTTGGTTTCGCAAATATCACTCCTATAGTTCTCACACAAAATGTCAATTGATATTTTGATTTCCTCCTTGTCTGGGGGGGGGGACATTTAAACGCTGATGTTACTTCTTCGTAACATTTATTTTCTTTAAGGTCTCGAGTAATATTGTCGCATATTGCATTAAATACTTCAATTATAAATCTTTCCTTTGCTTCTAAAGTGATTTCATTTTAAGCTGTTTTATAAAAAAAATACTTTTCTTCTCTTTGCTCTTTTAAGTTCATGGTATCCTCGCCTTCGAAAAAAGTCTTTCATTTTTAACTCGATTTCGTTATTCTCTTATTTCTGCAACAAAGGTGAACAGAGAAGTCATTAGTTCTACTCTAAATGATACATTCAAGTCCATGGTTTGTAAAGTTCTGCTGATTACATTCACTCATTCCAAAATCCTTGTCTAAATTGATGTTAATATGAACTGTTTCTAAGGTGTCCATTTTATTGTACATAGCCTTCACTTCATTTCTAACTGCAGGTTTCTCTTCTGTATTATTGCTTAATTGAAAAAGAAATATTTTCATTGACCTGTAATTTTTATGCAAAACGTTTACTGTTTCAAATCGAGCAGACCATCTAGTTTCAACCAATCATTTAACAGAACATTTACAGCTTTGCAGCAAGTTTTATCTTTGAGCAAAAGCAGAAAAGAACATGTGAATATTTTGAACAGTTGTAAAATAGTCAGTTACTTCCAAGCTGGACCCGCAATGCAAAGGTAACTACAAGATTTAATGAATGATCTGAACACGGCACATAAATAGCGTTGGGTGACAATTCTTGTATTCTATTTATAGTGTTTGCGTCATGTTACATATTTGGTAAGGCACTGTCTGTAGTCTAATTCATTTGCCTATTTCTTGATGTAAGGCACATTATAGTTGTCATCCCACTCTTACAATCCAGTGCCACATCGGCCTTGGATATCGACAGACAATATGGGCATGGACGTGCAAGTGAGAGGCGCAGATTATTTTTGCAAAAACATTTAATATTTTTCTAAAGAATTTTTATCTTCAACTATCAAAATTTATAATTAAAAATTCTGGTTGGATCCAGCTTATCTGGGCCCTTATGCACCCACCCCAAGTGCCCAATGGATAAAGCTGCACTGGCTCAAACACAAGATCTGATCAGTCCCTTTTCCTGGGAGGTATCCACATCATACAGTCCACACCTGGCATTTAGTGACTACCTAATGACTCTTCTGTCATCTGAAGACACTTCTGAATGGCAAATATTCAAACACAGATGACAAAGTGAAAATGGCCATGAATAACTTGCTATCATAACAGGCAACAA